TCGCTTATTCAAGCCCAAGGCCCAATTCATAGGCCCAAAGTCGAATAGGACTCAAAGTCCAACATATGGCCCAATTTTCCAAATTGGGCCCAAACCCCTTACATGACTTTATTCTAAGGCCCAACATCACATATAATCATTAAGGCCCAAACTATGGCCCATCAATGGCCCAATTTTCCAAATTGGGCCTAACTCCTCATATGGGCCTTACCTCAAAGCCCATTAATTATTCTAGTCCAATTGTTTGACTTTGGATGGCCCAATAATAATCCAATCATCAAGGCCCAACAATAAACCCAAGTGAAATTAGGGTTTCACATAAAATGATGATTAGGGTTAAGTGTTTCTCACTCAACCCATTAGGGACTTAATCCACTAAAGACTTAATCCATTAAGTCCAATATTGCCTATATTAATTTTTCTTTTGCCAATGATTATTATTTAATATTCCAAATTATTAAATAATTCTCGTGTGTCTCGATTAATTCCCAAAGATAGGGTTTCGATGGCATTAGGGTTTTCCAAACCCTAATTAGGGTTTCCAACCCAATTACTAGCCCATTAGAGTCCATTAAGCTTTATTGGGCCCATTTGAGCTTACAAGGCCCATTAGGGTTTCAAGCACCCCTCCCAAACGAATCAACTCACAAGGCAAACACACCGCCACCCGACACGGCGGCCGGTGGCGGCAGGAGGCGGCAGCCACCACCCTAAGGTGGTGGTTTAGTTTTCTTTTCATTAATCCAATCTGTTACAGTCACAAAGCCAACCGATTAACACACGCACAAACCCTAATCTCATTACAACCACATACACACGAAAATATACCCACTCACGGTGGTGCACGGCGGCAGCCACCACCTCGCGGTGGTGGCAGTGGTCCCTTTTTCTTCCAACACACAGCAACACAACACACCTCCACGAATACACCCACAGCCATTTCCACGGTGGTCGGAGGCAAAGGAACATGGCAGCAGACGGTGGCGCAACATGTTGGAATGGCGGCTGGAAGCCATTTCCGACAGCAACAGCGACACTCGCGATGTCGAACACCTCGAGAAGGACAGAAATGCGAGACAAGGTGGTCAAACCGATAGATTCCGGCTGTTCGTGACCTGATCTTCATCGTTCACGGCTCACAATCCAAACTCGTGGGTTTCTCCGGTCTTCAATGGGCCTCCCGGTGGCTCACGGTGGTCACAGCTTGCTCCCGAATGGTGGTGGCGAGGAGATGTCGGCTGGGAATGGCAGCAGCAGCAGCGACGAAAGGGACGGAGGAGGGTGGCAGCGGACGCCACAACCTCGTTGGCCTCCGACTTCGACCACTACGGGAAGGTAGCAGCGGCAACAGCACACGAAAATATACCCACTCACGGTGGTGCACGGCGGTAGCCACCACCTCGCGGTGGTGGCAGTGGTCCCTTTTTCTTCCAACACACAGCAACACAACACACCTCCACGAATACACCCACAGCCATTTCCACGGTGGTCGGAGGCGAAGGAACATGGCAGCAGACGGTGGCGCAACATGTTGGAATGGCGGCTGGAAGCCATTTCCGACAGCAACAGCGACACTCGCGATGTCGAACACCTCGAGAAGGACAGAAATGCGAGACAAGGTGGTCAAACCGATAGATTCTGGCTGTTCGTGACCTGATCTTCATCGTTCACGGCTCACAATCCAAACTCGTGGGTTTCTCCGGTCTTCAATGGGCCTCCCGGTGGCTCACGGCGGTCACAGCTTGCTCCCGAATGGTGGTGGCGAGGAGATGTCGGCTGGGAATGGCAGCAGCAGCAGCGACGAAAGGGACGGAGGAGGGTGGCAGCGGACGCCACAACCTCGTTGGCCTCCGACTTCGACCACTACGGGAAGGTAGCAGCGGCAACAACACTCTTCATGGTTGTGGTTACAGTGGTCGGAGGAACATGGGTGGCCGGAGATTGAAGAGGTGAATGGTGGCGGCTGGAGGGAGGTATAAGGTTGGAGAGGAGTTGCGGCTAATGAGAATGGCCGATTAGGGTTAGGGTTTCAACCCTTAAATACCCGCCTCACCTAAATGTTTGCCATAATGGCAATAACCACCCCTCCTTTCCCATTTTCTTCCAAAATACGCCCATATATTACCTTTCTAACCCCTGCCATCTAAATTTCCCTCAACTTAAGTCCATTAATTACAAAACAGCCCCTGCCTTCTGAATTCATTGCAATTCAACTCCATATGATACCATTCAGCCCCTAACCTCCAAAATCTCTTCAAATGAAGTCCCAATAATTACCCAATAGCCCCTGCCTTCATAATTATTTACGAGACCAATCCAAAACTTATATTTGTAAACCCCGACTTCTAAAATTATGACACTTAGCTCTTCAAGACCATCCTTTGATATATAATTATTTATTTTAGGGATACAATTCGCTCATTAATTTGTTTATTTATTTAGTAAATAAACCGGGTGTTACAGCTTTTCTGTTGGGATTAGATGTTTGGACTCTTGATGGGCCATCTTAGAACAAGTGTATGGACTAGAATTTTTGATTGGGCTTTAGGATAAGGCGCTTTGGAAAAGCTTGGGCCCAATTTGGAAAATTGGGCCATAGATGGGCCATAATTAGTCCCTGATGATTACAAGATATTGGACCATTGGAATGCCAAGTGTTTGAACCAGAATAAATGGTTGGGCCTTAAGGTATGACCATGGAGACGTTTGGGCCCAATTTGGATAATTGGGCCATATGTTGGTCCTTGGATCATTGTTTGGCTTTTGGGTCTTTAGAGTATGAGTTTGGGTCTTAATATTGGACCAAGCTAGGTTAAGGGTAAAATTATCCTTTTACCCTAATGTAGGTTATATGTTTTCGGACTTCGATCCGATGCCAGGGCAAGCCCGAGGAATGTTTAGCTTATATGTTCCGGGCTTCAGTCTAATGTCGGGCGGGGCCCGAGGAATGTTTATATGTTGATTTTATGTGATTATGTTTCTATGTATTTGTTGATATGCTTATGTCTACCTCGATGTCGGGCGGGGCCCGATGCTGGATTTCGGTCTGATGCCGGGCGGGGCCCGATGTCGGGCGGGGTCTGATTCCGGACTTGTCCGATGCCGGGCGGGGCCCGATGTAGCAGGCAAGGCCCAAGTTATGTGATTATGTGATATGTGTATGGTATGTGGTAGTTTGGGGAGATTCACTAAGCTTCATGCTTATAGTTTTCAGTTTTGGTTTTAGGTACTTCCGGTAGTAAGGGGAAGAGCTCGGGGTGACTGCATGGCACACACCACATCATTTAGCTTGGGAGGATTCACTCTGATGTTTTGACATATGATTTTCATATATTGACAGATGTTATGATATTTTTTTTTTGGAAAGGGAACTCCCCTAACGAGGGTTTCCGGGTCAGCTTTCGTGCACCGACTAATCCCCCGCTGCAAACATGAGGCTTTGCCTAATGCCCTGGAGTCACTGCAGTCGAACCTCCATGGCCACAAGGGCTGAGTAGTGCCAGGATTTGAACATGGGTCAATAGGTTATCCACCATATCTTCCACATGTCTTACCAAGTCACCACAACCCAAGTGGTTATGTTATTATATTTTTGAGATACACGATTTATGACTTTTATATGATGAATGATACTTATGGTTTTTATTAATGAATTAAAATGAAATTTTTGGACTGCATTTTTGGGATGTTTCAAAATGTGAACAAAACGAAAAGTTAATTATCCTGACAAGTCCTTTTCCTCATTTTTAATAGCATTTTTATTTTTCATATTTAATTGTATTATTTTTTCAAAAGTTATTTTAAAATATCCATAATTTCCTAAATATTAATTAAATATTGATTAATGTTAAACTTTACTTTTTAATTAATAAATATGTTTTTTGTTTTGTGAAATATTTTATATAGCCTCTTATAATTTTTTTTCTTTTGTTTTTAAGCATATACAATATTTTTAAAGTAAATAATATCTAACAATAAAATTAAATAAATTAAATATATAAAAATACGTATGGATGGTCTTTTAAAAAAATAAAAAGAAAATATTACTTGGCAAATAAAAAACAAAAAAAAATCTATATAATGTAAATGTTTTAAAATTAATCCAACTTTTTAATACTTTTTAATTACAAGTTTATAAACTTTTAATTTTTTAATACAACGTTTTAAACTAGTATTTAATAAAAATATTCTAAAATGTTATAAAAAAATATTAAACTATCATACAAAATCTGTGAAACACTTTAAAAATGTTGTAAAAGAAAGTATAGAAATAAATGTATAAAAGTTATAATAAAAATTATATGAACATATAAAAAAACAAGTTAAATACTTGTAATAAAAGTTTTAAACATTTATAAAATATTTGGTTTAAAAACACTTGTATTAAAATTATATGAAAGAATAAAAAAAAATTTAAAAAACTTATAAACAAAGATTTAAAACATTAGATTAGAAAAGTCTGTAAGAAAAAAAATATCATAAAAATGTTGTAAGAAATTATAAAATCTTTTAAGAAATTTATAAAAAAAAATTGTTCACAATTAACCAACTTTTTTTTGTACACATTTAACCATTTAACAAGTTAAATGGTCAAATGTGTAAAAAAAATGAAATTGCATAAACGTGAACCAGACGAAAAGATAACTACCCTCATAAGTTATTTTTTTTATTTAATGGAATTAATTAATAAGGACAATATCTAATATAAATCATAAAAGTACTTGCACTTAATATAGAAAGAACATATAGAGGAAAAACACGCCCTCGTTAACTAGTTCTAACTTAATATATATATATATATATATATATATATATATATATATATATATATATATATATATATATATAATATATATATATATATATATATCATTTATTTTTTCTTTCTCAATCCTCTAACACTTTATCATTTTCTCAAATAATTTTAAATATCATTTCTTTGGACAACACACAAAACACATTCGAAGTGTAGATGGATACAAAGTAACGATAAACCATATAACTGATACAGTGATTAATCGTCTAACTTGGAACGAACTTCTAGTTATTGAAGGATATGTACAAATACAGGTTCAAGGATAGAGATGCAAAAGCGCGAAGTGGACCTTGCTATGTGACGGCTAGTACCAAGGCACGTAGCATGTAACTTATTTAATTACTATTTAAAGGAACTTTTTTCCTTATAATAGTACAATTAACATGTAAAATCATCATCAAGGTGCACATAAAAAAAGAGTTCTATCGTACAAGTGCACGACAGGTCAGTGGTGTCTGTAGCTCAAGTGAGAGCTTAAGACACTCTGAGAGGTCTACTTTTGTGGATGGAATTGGAAGCCACTTGTATTGTTGGAGAAGTCGTGCAAGCCACAAATGAATTGTGGCAAGCCCAAGCGACTTTCCTGGGCAAACCCTTCGACCTGAACCAAATGGTGCAAGCCTAAGGTCCGAACCCATGATTGGAAAGTCCTCTTCCATGAACCTTTCGGGATTGAAATCCCATGGGTTTTTCCATATGGAAGGATCATGTGTGATTGCCCACATGTTAACCATTGCAGTAGTCCCTGCTGGCACAAAGAACTTACCTAACTGGACATCATGAGTCGCAAGGCGAGCCCAAGAAAGTAAAGGTCCCGGAGGGTGCAACCTAAGGACCTCTTTCACTATGGCTTGAACATAAACAAGATTTGGGATATCAGAGTCTTGAACGGGTCTGAGTTTGCCAACGTGCTCCTCAATCTCTTCTTGAGCCTTTGCTTGAATGTCTTGGTGCATAACCATTCTTGCCATGATCCATTCCAGAAGGATAGCAACCGTATCAACTCCTCGAAAGATCATTTCCTATTATAATTAAGTACCAATAAAAGTTTATTATGGGGCACATCGAAATTTTTGTAACGACAATGCGTACACACAATAATCACTTTAATTTACATGACTAATTAATAGTTGTTTTGCAGCATAATAACATGTCTTAATGTGGTCTTTCTTGTATAATGTATGTCTTCATTAAATTTACTTGTCTTTACACAATTTGCAGGCTGCTCGTAAAAAGATATATGTAGACTTGAGTAAGGCTTGTAATCATGAATAATATATATATATATATATATATATATATATATATATATATATATATATATAAGGAAATTGTCAGAAAAGTCCTAATATTTTCAGAAAAGTTACACTTTAGTCCCAAGATTTTTTTTTTGAACAAAAAAGTCCCGATTATTTCATTTTGGCTCAAATTTACAAAAAAATCCTTTTTTTTATTTTAACGGGAAATTACATATTATCGTGTTTTTAAAAATAATCGGGACTTTAATGTTCAAAAAAAAATCTTAGGACTAAAGTGTAACTTTCCTGAAAATATTAGGACTTTTCTGACAATTTCCCATATATATATATATATATATATATATATATATAGATATATATAATATATATATATATATATATATAATGCCTATGAAACCTAGTACCAATTAATTTGTCGCTAGATGCGTCATGATGATTGATTCAAAGTATTTTCAACTCTACCAACCTTACTTTTTGACCAAAATAAGCATAAGTTTTGAGCTATTTTACCTTTTTACTGTATCTAACTAAACAATTGCTTAATTAATAAATGGTTGATGGCTTATAACATTCTGTTGGCAAAAGTTATGCAAAAATATCTGAAAGATGTGTATTAAGCTATTAATTTATTTAGCGACAGCACCCATCTAAAAATATCTTCAACATCAAATACACCCTCATTTTTCCTTTTAAAGGATATTAAAATTCATTGTTTATCTAGCTATTTCATCTGGTATATATATTCCGTTTCAAATAAAATGATGTCGTATAAAATCAAAATTAAGCATACACATGCACTATATGAGTAAGCTGTTTAGATCTTGAATTTCCATAAAATGGGTTATCTTTTAACCTAATGTGTATGGCTGGCTAGCTAGTGATCACTAAGTCATGTGTGATCTTTGCATGTTCACAAAAAAATAGTTCGGGTAGTTGTTTCATGTTATGCATATGAAAGGAAAAATAGTAGAGAGAGAGAGAGAGAGAGAGAGAGAGAGAGAGAGAGAGAGAGAGAGAGAGAGAGACTTACCCACAGAACAGCCACCATATCAGCATCGGTGAGTTGATCCTGGTTAGGCAGACACAGTAATACGCTAAGAAAGTCATTCTTCCCATTGTTAATACCTCCACCGTCTCTTTTTCTTTCCTCAACAATTTGACCTACAAGACTTTTGACTTTCAAAGTCAGCTTATGACACCTCCTCTTGACCCCAGTGAAATCCAAAACCTTAATTGGAAAATAATCGCCCCACTGAAATTCACCGATCAACTCATACCCTTCTTTCACCATAAACCCTAATTCTTCTTCTTTTTTAAAGCCTAATCCACTCCCAAACACACTCTCCATAACACTTTTCAGAGAACCTTTTTGGAATATCCCTCTTAACTCCACACTCTTTTTCTTATTCATCTCGTCGAACACTTTATCCATCATTTCGTCGCACACACTTTGTCTAAGACACTGGAGGCTCAAAACCCTTTTAGGAGAGAACATGTGCTGTGCTACAATCTTCCTTAGATGTCTCCAATACTTCCCAGATGGTGCGAACCCAATGGCTCGCTCAAACATCAACAAACTAGCTGATTCCTTTACAGGACGGTCTGAAAAGGCACTGCCGCACAAGAGCTCCTTAGCAGTCTCAGGGTGACTAGTAATTACCACACGAACTGAACCAAGGCTAAACGCCATAAGACGAGTTGCACCCATTGAGCTTGCCATAGAGGCCAGTTTACGATGAGCATGAGAACCCATTTCAGGTAAGATCCCTAGGAATGGCCAGCCAATTGGACCAGGGATCTTACTTGGGTTTAAATTAGGGTTTCTCCATGCAAACCCACCAGGGACTAACCATACGTTAGCAAAGAAGGGGGAGAGAGATACAAGAGAAAGAAAAAAGAGAAGTGAGAGATAAAGATTGTAAACGGCTACTACAAAGCAAGGAATTAGAAGAAAGAAGTTTGCCCAAACAAAGATTTTCATTTTTTTTTTGTTGAGACTTGTGCAATTAAACCTTAACTTAGATGTGTGGTGAGAACTGATAAGGATTGCATGGGTCGTGCTTTGTATATATATGGGAGTGATAGGCTCTTGATTGGGTTTTTTAACTCAACCATGGTTAGTTAATCTGTCTTTGGAGTTTTCTTTTCTTTCTAAAGTTTCCTTTCCATTTATTTGTTTTTTGTTTTGCTCGTCCTAATTAGGTATATGATCGATGGTCAGTGCCATAGTACCACTTGGTCAATCTACGTTATTGTTTAATCACTTTCTATGTCGACTTTCAATAAATAAATAAATGAGTAAATTACATAAATGGTCCATGATTTTTTTTCTTAAATGGCAATTTTATTTTAAGTTATGCATTATGTTACATGAGTTGTTCTAATGCTTTCAGTTTATTGCAATTATGGTAAAGTCAGTTTCATTTTGTATTTATATGTTATCTTGTATTTGGTCTAAAATTACTATATTGCTCATAATTTGATTTCTTTATTAATTTTCATTATCATTTTTTACAAAGAAAAATCAATACCATTAACGTGAACTCTAGCAAGAAGGCTACTCAAGATTTCAGTCCTACGCCTTTTGAATTTTACACTTGGTGGCTTCATCATTTAGAGTTTGAAGATTTGGTTAAACGCACTCTTGCAGAAATCGATCTTGGCGGCCTATTAATCGGATATTAATCGTTTGGTGGTCTGCAACCCATTACGATTAAGGGTATTTGGCGGAAATTGGTCAATATCGGTCAAACTCGGGTTCCGCAATCCTCAGCAGTCCTTGGCACTCCTAGGCAGGAAAAATTTTAACTTTTTAAATTTTCAGGGTCTCCAATTAATCCCCCGATTAATCTTCGCCAAACCGATTAATCTCTTGACCCCAGTCGACCACAAAGTTACCGCCAAATGATTTTTACAACCTTGATTAAAGGATGTTGGGCCACCGGTTTCTGCTTACAAAGTCCTTTTGTTTAAAAAAAGTACTATATTTCATGCGAATTGCACAAAAGATACTAAGTCTTTATGAAAATTCGATTTTAAAACCGTGTTATTTTTTCTCACAATAAAGATACTAAATTTTCACATGTTTGATTTGACACGATATTTTTCAATTTGTTTCAATGTTGACCACTGGATCGGTCAACCTACTTTTCAGTTGAGGTGACATGATGATGTGTCAGTCTTTAATAACATAGTGTTGCCTTAACATGATGACATGATAATTTTTAATGACATCACTTTGTGGATGTCAAAATTGAAATATATATATATATATATATATATATATATATATATATATATATATATATATATATATATATATATATATATATATATAGTGACTTAATTAAAAAAAACCCATAAAAGACCCAATATTTTGATTAGACCTATTTCTTTCTTTTTCGAAAAAGACTCAATTTTTATATGTTACTTGTCATTTCAGGCCCTAACAGGTCACCAACAGGTAAATTGAATATTTTTGTTTCATAAAAGATCCTACATTTTGTATTTTTTTCACTATAGACCTAAAATGTTTATTTTATTTTATTTATTTATTTATTAATTTTTTTGCAAAATAAACTCAACTTTAAAATTGGTTATAACATTCAAGATGATCAAAGAAACTGTCTCACCCCTTGTTATTCTTTGTTCTTGAAACATTCCAAAAATACCGGCCAAAAATTTCATTTTTAAATCATTAATAAAACCATAAATATCATCATCATATAAAAAGCATAAATAGTGTATCTCAAAATATCATAACAACTGTCAAAATATATCAGAGTATAAACATCTCAGGCTAAACAAATGGTGTGTGCACTGCAATCATCTCGAACTTCTCTTTTGAAAACCGAAGTACCTGAAACCAAAACTGAAAACTGTAAGCACGAAGCTTAGTGAGTCTCCCCAAACTACCACATACCATACACATAACATGCAAATAGGAGATATGGGCCCCGCCCACTCTCACGGAGATTCGAGCCTCACCCACACTTCGCTGTCTAGGAGATTCGAGCCTCACCCACACTCTGCTGTCTAGGAGATTCGGGCCCCGCCCACACTCCGCTGTCTAGGAGATTCGGGCCCCGCCTACACTCCACTACTAACATGCATACAAGTATCACACAAACAACAAGTATATCTACTCCTACCAAGCAGTCACATATCTATACTCAAATAATGCTACGAGATCCGGGCCTGTCCACACTCGGCTACTATGAGATTCGGGTCCCGCCCACACTCAAATAAAAATGAGATACGGGCCCCGCCTATACTCACATACATAAACAAACACATACAAGTATCACACAAACAACAAGTATAGCAATCCAACAATCTCACTAATATCTATACTCTGATAATATTTATATACGGGCCCCGCCCACACTCAGCTACTAACATATCATATATATGGGCCGACCTTGGTGCCTTAGACTCGTTCCTACTGAAGGAAAACTCAACACACACTGCTAAAGTCCCGCGAATAAATCTCTGGTTGCTAGCTGACAGATCCCTAAACTGTCAACATCAAAATAAAACCCAATTAACCATTTTGGGCTTCCGATGCATAACTTTAGAATCCCCCACTTAGGGTAAAAGGACCATTTTACCCCTAACCTAGCTTCGTCCAAGATAAGGCCCAAACTCATACTCTGAAGCCCCAAAAGTCAAATAATCAACCAAGGCCCAACTATGGCCCAATTTTCCAAATTGGTCCCAAACCCCTCACATGGTCTCACCTTAAGGCCCAACAATTTATTCTGGTCTAAACACTTGGCAATCCAATGGTCCAATATCTCATAATCATCAAGGTCCAGTTATGGCCCATCTATGGCCCAATTTTGTGTAACATCCCAACCGTCAGGTATCATTATTATTCCATTTAGATTTCATGTTTTAAGGTCTACTCGACGAGTTGACGCTGTGACTCATCGAGTAGCAGCGGGCCAGGACACGTCATTTAATGAGTGACTCGCCGAGTCGGCGTGGGGGACTCGACGAGTAGGAGCTGGCAGTGGAAACCCTAAGTTTCAGGGTTATTGCACCCTATATATTGGACAATTAGCGCCTCCCACTGTCCTCTATCACCCCTTGAGAGCCAGAAACCCAAATTCCGTGAGTGTGAGCTTGGAGAGTGTTTTGGGGCTTTGAGAAGTGATTTTTGTGAAGGAAACTTGTAGATCAAGAGGCTAGCATCAAGGATTTCGTGTGGATCCAGAGTCTACTTCAGCTTGGGCACGCTTTGGAGGTAATAAGCTGTTACCTTGACCTATTTTCTTCTAGAATCATTCATATGTGAAGACTAGGGCTTTCTTTAGCTATTCATGAAGGGATTATAGTATGGGAGCTAGATCTGAAGTTGAAACTTCAGATCTGAACCTCTTTTGAGTCCTAAGTCCATAAAGTTTCCAGCTCTTGCAAGGATGAGACTCTCTTAAGGTGTAAAACTCCATTAGAAGCTTAGATTGGTCATTTAGAGCCTATAGGGCCTTACATGCGTGTAAAGTTTGCAACTTTACGTGATAAACATGCCTTAGAAGCTTGGATCTGTAATCTGGAACCTTGGCATGGCTTAAAAAGTGTCTGCATGAATGAAGGTCTGCAAGGACTCGGCGAGTTGCATAGTCAACTCGGCGAGTCATATGAAGATGATCATGAACTCGTCGAGTTGATGAACAACTCGGCGAGTCCGATGAAGATTGCCTTGGGCTCGACGAGTCAGTCAACTGACTCGGCGAGCCGGCTAGGGTTTTTCCCAATTCTTGGACACGTATGAACTCGACGAGTTAAAGGGGAACTCGACGAGCCAATCAAGGATTTCACAACTTCTCGAGTTCAGGAAGGACTCGACGAGTCGGTGAACTACACTTGACGACTCGAGTTAACATGGACTGTTGACTTTGACTGTGGACTTTGACTTTGACCAAGAGCTGACCAGTTGACTTTTGAGGGTATTTTGGTAATTTGGGAATTTATGAAAAAAGGGCTTTGTGGCAACTATAGGTGGTGGAGTTCGTGTTGGTGATCCGAGAGTTGAGCTTTCTAGTTTCAGACGACAGTTGCAATGTGAGTTTTCCTCACTATACTCAAGGGTCTAAGGCACCAAGGCTGGCCCTTTGGATTGTTATATGGTTATGTTATGCTAGTATGATATGTTAGATTGGTATCCTAGAGGGTAGGATAATATTGTATGATATGTTAGATCGGCATCCTGGTAGATAGGATGGTGTTATGTGTTATGTGGTATGATCCGGTAGATCAAGTATTGTCTATAGACTGTTATGTGATTATCTGTTATATGTGCACATATTTGTTTAGCGGTTGAGGCTTATCTGCTCTGTGTGAAGGCCAATAGACCTGGGCATTCCAACTTGTAGGTTGTGGGCCGTAAGTATTCCATCCCGAGGATGATTGGACTTGTAGTGTGTGGGCATTCCAACCTGTTGGTTGTGGGCCTGGGGTATTCCATCTCGAGGATGATTGGACCCATAGTGTGTTGGCATTCCAACCGGATGGTTGAGGGCCTGGGGTATTCCAACCCGATGGTTGACTGGACCCATAGTATGTTGTTTATGATTATATCTGTATGGATGCGGGTATGGGTATTTTGGGGGAACTCACTAAGCTCTCGGGCTTACAGTTTCAGTTTATTGTTTCAGGTACATCAGGGGATCGCGGCAAGGCGAAGGCGTGATCGTACAGCTCCTCATGTGTTGTTTATGTTTCTGGAAAAAACTCTGATATTATACATTTTGAAAACAAAGTTGTAATGATTTGTAATGGTTGAAATGTTTTTAAAAGTTTTAAATTGGCTTAAATTTTATGGGTGTTACATTTTCCTAATTGGGCCCAAGCCTGTCCAATGGGCCTTATCCTAAGGCCCAATCCAAATATTCTAGTTCATATACTTGTTCTTGGATGGCCCATCAATAGTCCAAATATCTAGGCCCAACAGAAAAGGCCCAATTTAAAACCTAACACAAATTAGGGTTTTTACATAAAATGACGATTAGGGTTAAGTGTTCTCACTTAACCTATTAA